CTTGGCCCCGTTTCATTTACTAGTATAGATGTAGCCAGCCTGCTTCAGAGACTAACAACAAGCTTTGGCAGTCATTTAGCAGCTGCTGGTTATCCCAGAACTAGCATTTGTTAGCAAGCACTGAGCAGATCAGAAGACCACGGTTTAAAACAGCACTTTGCAGTGCTGTCAGCTACCATATTGAGGAAACTCCATTAACTATGCTGGAGTTACACCAGAAGAAATGAGAAGACACTAAAGGCTACAGCTTTCAAAGAGAAAGATACACAAAATGGGATATTTTATGAGCATCTTTTCTTAGATTCTTGAAGAGTTTATTTTAGCAAGGCAGGAGACCAGCTCTTTGCAGTGAAAACTGTTGACAATATGCACCATTCAATGCAGCTGTAAAATTTTAGTTGTGACAATGTTTACAGCAGTTCAGATACAATTTCAAAATGACAGCTCCACTGCAGTAGAAAAACTACAAGGGAGGGGAACAGCCCCTGTTGTTTAACAGATGTTAACAAATGTCTTTCCCTTATTTAATCACTTCATCTGTGTGAAAAGAAACATCCCACAGTTCACTTATCTGATCCCAATGTCACCTCAGAGTAAAGTTCATGCCAGATAAAGAGTAATCACAGAATAACAAGTATACACTTACCAACTGTATCCATTAGTAAATTAAATTACTGTGATTTCTGGCAGCAAGGGAAAGCTGGGTTAGACATTAGAAATTGTCCTGAACTGTAACAATAGCAAAGCAGTAGGTTCGTTTGCCTGGGGAGGTTGTGGAGACTCCACCACCAGGGATTTTTAGAGCTCATTAGAAAAATATCTGTCAGGAATGTACCAGGCACTTTGTTTTGCTTTGTGAGTAGGGACAAAGGGGAATAGGATGACCACTAAGATCTCTGCCAGCCCTGCTTTCTAAGATCCCTATGGAAGTCAATACTGAACACTATAATTTTATAACAACTGTTCAGCTGTTTCATTGACACAGTCCAATTAAATGACCTTTCAGTTAGGTCATGAGATTTCAATGCTGACCATCTCTAGTCTAAAAAGGATCATCAGTGGAAAATTCAAAGTTCTATGAGAACTTGGGGGAGTGCTGTCACATAAACTATCCACCCAGACACGTAAATCTCACTGAAGGCAGGCCATCTGGCATTTTAGGAAGAATCCACTAACCTGGTTCCTTATCCATGCCAAAATAATCCATCTTCCTACAACTCTAATTTCTAAAGAGAAAGCTGGTAAGACATTTTTCCTGTGGATTCATGAGCCAATTTTTGGTTTTCAGAGGATGAGGCATAAATCCAGCCAAGACTCATTGGTGTCTAGATTTCAGGCAAATGGCCTTACCAGCAATACCAGTGTCTAGAGGAAGGGTTTGCAAGGCCGCTGGCACCCCCATCTGCAGAGAGAAAGGCTGTTTTCAGCACCCTGGACAAGATCCTGCGCCGCGGGGGCTCCGCGGCTCTGGCCTGGGAGTGAGGACCCCGGGCACAGAACTGTTCCAGGCCCTCAATCCGTGACACCGCTGGGCAGAAAAGATTCAGGGTCTTTCTATCAAACAGAGCCGGCCTTTTGCGATTTCAGCATAGGCCTCATTAAGACACACCAAGTATAGACCTGCCAGTGCAAGAGCTAATAGAGTTGTGAATCATTTGCAGGTGATATAATTACCTGGGGTTTCCACCCGCCGATAATGGTAGGGGTTAATGCACACTTCTTTCTGTTTTGAGCCAAATGGGAACTCACAACATTCCAGTGGTTTCAATTCATGGTGAGACTGTAAATCAGGCCAGCGCCACACTCTGCAGTATATGACGTGGGGGAGCCCCTTGCGGTGAGACACCTGCAGCCGACCATCCAAGGAACGTGGGATTGTGACACATTTACTGGGCTGACCAGGGCAGCTCAGAGCCCTTTCCAGTTCTTCCATGGCACCTTTTTTCTTCTTCAATTTCTTTACCAAGGAATCGACAGCTTTTTCTGCCCACTTTTCCTCTTCATCTCCTTGTTTCCAGCCCAGCAGCCTTTTCACTGCAGGGCTGGTGAAGGAGAACAAGGAGCTGATAGGGGTGCTGGAGTGCATAAGAAGCAGAGATTACACACCAGAGTCAACAGAAGCGCAATATGCTCTCCTGCCTTCCTGGATGGAGTTTTCACAATATTCAGATGGCAGCTTCCTTCAAAGAGATGTTCTTCCACACATAGGTTTTTGTAATCTCAGGTGCTGTTTACAAGCACTCCAGCAGTATCAAGAAACCGCTGATGAAATCTGGAATAACAACACAATATATAGTTAGGCTTCACACACTCCTTTCATTGCTCTTATAATAAAGCTCATTTGAAAGAGAAATTGTTCAAAAAACGTATTTAATTTTCAGTGGTTTTCTCTTTATGTTCTGCTGTTTATTTTGGGTCTAAGTCTCTCCTTCCCACTGCCCTCCACACTCATTTTAGAGCTGGGCCTCAGAAAGCATCAAGTGTCTACTCATTTTCATCTGTGTTTAGAGTTTAATGCATGAAGCAAAATGTTACAAGGTTGGGGTTATATTCACTGCAAAAAAAAAGTTCTACATTTTTTTTTGAAGTTGGTGGGTGTAAGTTCAGCTTTTTAAAAATTAAACCTGTAATATCAAATCTGATGGGACTAATGAGTAGAGTATTTTTTTAAATTCTGCTTCCCCTTTGCCCCTCAAATCTCATTCTACTGTCAACGGCTGTGTAACATTAACTGCAAAACTCATTTAAAATTCATCTATTCCAAAATTTCATTTAGTGCCTCTGAAAGATCTATTGCTGTTCTCTAAAATTATTTACATTCTTTCATATGCAGGAGAAATACTTGTTTGCCTAGCCAGTCTGCTTGGCTGTCTCCAACACTGCAAAGCTTTTTGGATGAAAATCACAGACTTTTGGATACAGTTCATGCTGGATGGATCTTGAGTTATTTCTGCTAGGAGTTGCTACGTCTGAGGAAGTCCAACAGAAAGAGTTTAGCTTTTGAGGTTCCCTCCCCCTCTTTTTTTTTTTTTTTTAATGCAGCTGGAGCCAGTCTAATTTTAGCTGAAAATGACATATTTCCACTGACTGGAACTTTGAGGAAAAATGTCCTCGTATGTCAAGCTATTTACTGTTTTAAATAAACTTCACGGACCCCCTGTTCATATCAAGTGCAAGGGAAAACAATACACACAGCACGTAAACCAGGAGATGGGGACAGCTTCTCAAATGGGTACCGCCAAAGAAGCAGCTCCATGACTGCTCTACTCCATCCTTGTTAGAGGAGGTGGGCCCTGCTCACCTCCCACTAGCAAAGGCCCAGCTATAGTCCCCAACATTGCTTCAATACATTGACTGAGGAGATGCAGGGAGATAGCACCCTGTGCTGGGGATAGCAGGACTTCAGAAACCACATTATTCTGATGTTCCCTTAAATGCACAGGTCTTTTAAGAGTCCAGGGGACACGTGAGGACATTGAGTGCACACACAGGTACAACATATTCAGACAGCAGGACAAGGACAATGTCAAAGCCTGTCTCCTTGGCTTAATCTGGTACCCTTACAAGTCTGAAGCATGCTGCAGGATGAGTCCACATGGGCAGGGCATCAGAGAGCTTCCTAGGCAACACGCTGTGTCCCCTGGGGACCAGTGGTTCACTAGAGCTGATTTGCTTCTAGCCTTTCTGTTCTGTTCTCTCATGCCCAGTCCCAAGCCCCTCTGTGTAACCCATAAGATGCCCTGCACCTTGAAAAATAGGTTGATATACGTGCAACCTTTCTCCCTTCTTCTATGACAGCAGCAATGGTGAGAGCAGGGGCTTAAATTCCCCAAATCCTTCCACAGTGCAAGGGAGACAGAAGCACTTAGTCCCACATAAAATGAAAAAGCACAAAAGCAACTCTTTGGCCGTCACAAGTCCCAGCAGCAGCTGGTGTTCACCCAAGAGATTCACATTCCAAGCAGCAGGGGATGGGAGATAGCATGAAAATATGAACATGGGGACTACGAAACTGGAAGGAAGAACAAGCACCCATTGCTTAATGCATTCACTACAGAACATTAAGCTCTGGGTTATGCAATTTCTGCGTTGCTAATCTGTGTATATGGCAATCGTCTACAACTGTCAGAAGAGGCTCATGACAGAGTGAGGCAGAAATCACCCCACTTGGTTTTGTGTAACAGTCAGTAACTAGTGAAGGACCAAATTTGCCCTGGCAAGTAAAGAGAAACTTTAAATTCAAGACTTTTATTCTGTGTATTTGTAAAATTACATTGACCTGGAGTATTTAACTGGATAGTTACTAACACTTTTATGTCAAAAGTGAATTTTATTCCAAACATTTAGAGGGTACATTTGAGAACAAAATAAATTCAGAATGATTTGTCACAGGAAAAACCTTCAAGCTGCTTGTAAAACATAATGCAGAGAAAATTTAGGCAGACAGTCTCCAGCTTTTATGAGAGCAGGGTCAGCCTACAAAGCCCAGAGCCAGCTCCTTCCAGGTAGCCCTTACAGTGGAGCTGTATATTCCTCTGCCGGTATCAAAACATTGGAAGAATCTGCTAGTTTCCAAATGCCTCTCTACCACTGTTATTAAGTGGCTGCACTAAACCCCATCCTCACGCGAGAAAACAGAACAATGCCGGGATCACTATGGGTCAGTGCTGAAAGCAGGAACAGGAAGCAAAGAGAGCCTGGGATAAAAGCCCACAGTACCAGCAGTGGTGCAAAAATCTCTGCTCCAGGCTGACAGGGAAAATGGCTCACATTTCTTATCTGAGGGGGTCTCCCGGGTGTTAGTGTGTGTAAACAACTGCCCCGATAAGTTAATGCAACATTACAATCATCAGATAGGAAAACATACATGTTCACGTAAAAGTATTGTCCTGAGATTTTCTATTCCATTTTGACCAAGGTTTTAAATAAACACATTAATCTCGTTCAGTCAAATTAAATAACTCAACAGTGACATCAGTATGAGTCTGAGCACTATTGTTGCTAGTGGGAGAGTTGCCAAGGGTATGTGTATAGAAGCAAAAGCAGTGCTTTGCAGACCATGTGATGTAGTCTCAGATAAGTATATTGCGCAATTTCCTATCGCACACCCTCTAGTTTCTTCCAAAATCTTTTTTTCCCAAAATCCAAGTGACACACAAAATATAAATGGTATTAAATAGTGTAAACAGCTTTCAAATAATATTATTATCAGGACATCCTCCTTTAGTGTTATTAAATTACATAACACTGCACACTATTCAGCAGACTAAGCCTTGTGTTGCTAGGCTTACATACTCCACTATGAAATACCTAGGCAGCCACTCTGCTCCAGGGCTGTAGAGATAGAGATGTTAATTCACAATTTAATTTAAATGATCTTTTAGGATAGCAGTTGCTTAAAATGTATGCCTTTTGTATCAGGCAACATGCCTACTGCACTGGAAAATTCAGACTCTGAAACATTTTAAAACCACGTTGACGTATCTGCAGTGCTGATGATCCATCATGTTTCTCGATGCTAATCGCTTGAGAATGGAGGGCGGGAAGGGAAGTGCTGCATTTTTCTCCATACCCCAACAAATGTATCAAGCCCAGGGCCATGCCGATAGGAAAGTTCTGGTCTGGCCACCTCTATCTCTCCCAGTGACAGAATGATGTACTATCATGAGTATGAGTCATGCATCATTCAGGTTACATCCTCAACACACTTTCCTTCTCTGGGACTACATGGAAAACCCATCCTGTTTTCGAGACTGAAAGAGTTAATAGCATGGAAGTGGGCCACTCCGTGCTAGCTGACCTCCAGGACAAGAACAGTCCCAGCGACGTTTAATTTATACTGTAGAAGCAGCCTTTAGGTGGGATTTACTTGGCCAAAGAAACATGTGCATATTGTCAATACCCATATCTGACCTAGTCACCCAGAACTGCCTAAATACATACCTGAGAAAAATATGCATTTACAGGACATGGATCATTCCACCCTAAATTGAACACCTAAAAAAAAAAAAAAACAGCAGAAACAGGCACTGTATGCAGCTAATATTGAGTGAGATGAGTCCCACCTCAAGCCAGAATGACTGCTAGGCTAAGACCCAGCAACGTGGACACAGAGTAGAGGAGACTGGAATATTTATTCTTACTCCCAGACCTTGTTTATCACCGCCTAGCGTAGAATTAGCCTGTAAGTCCTCAGGTCAACAGGAGAAACGTGTTCCTCTAGGAACTCTACTGCAGTAACTTTTGCTGCACTTTTAAAGAGCCTGACACAGCGAGAACAGAAAGACGAAGATAAAAGACCATCATGGTGAGCCAGGTACTCACAGTACTTACAGGTACTTACTGCTGAAGTCAGTAAGGCAGGTTCCAGAGTCCATGGAAATCAGACATGCGCTGCTCTATATGGCATAATGTAGCAGCATACTGACACCTCCACTGTGGAAAGATTTCCAGAAGCTTAGACTTTGGATAATGAAAAAGGACCACCTGGGATGGGAAAGACTCTCATCCTCCCTCAGCAGATGTCCATGCAGGCCAATGAACTACTGAAGCTTTATGTTAAAGTCAAAAAGGGAAAACGCATTGATTTTAGTGAAAACAGGCTTAAAAACCAGCTGTACAAAAAGCACAAGGCCCAGCCTCCCTGCAGAGTGTACCTGTGCATGTGTGTGCGTGTGTGTGCGCGTGTGTGTGCCTGCGTGTATATGCATCTCGTCCCAGAATAAAACTCCAAGACTCTGCCCCCACTCTCAGAGCCTGCCTCGGCTAACTGAGCTGCGAGAGGCACGGCTATCAGTCTAGCAAATGGCTGACATCATCAGTCTTGGTGTCACTGCAACAGCTAAGTAAGGCCACAGAGGGAGATTTCTCAGAGGGTCGTTGTCTAGACAGAAGCTGTGCAGTTCTTGGAGATCGCACAGGGCTGGAAAATGGAACAGTGAGACAGCTACAGCTAGAAGTCCACACAGCTCGGCGACTAAATCACAACAGAATTGGAAGGCAGAAAATTATTCCAGTCAAAGAATACCTGTTGTGAACATGCGTTTATTTAGTTACTAGCACTGATTTAGTTAGTTCTAGTTACTGTGAAAAAGCGAAGCATGGGGGTTTTCTCAGAGCTAGTACTGTTGCGATCAAGTCTTGATTTCGTGTCAAACGTGTCCAACAGACAGCAGCCAATGTAAACCTAGGAGTGCAGGTCAGCAAAGAACTTCCTGGGTCGCCATGTCGCTGCTGTTTGCTGTGTGGATCTTCCACAACATACCACGAGAAAGCAACTAAAAAAATAAAAAAAATGTATTACCTGAGCTGAATAGGCACAGTTGCTGCTGCTCTAGTAACCCACTTATGGCTCAGGACCAATGGTCATATGTTACCCTTGACACATGTGAATCACCTTGAAAAGGGTACTCATGACATAGTTTGGGATCCCCGGGACTTCCTGTTGTTATTGGGACTAGCAAGACAAGGGTGTTGTTATGAACCTGTCTGAAATCTCTGCCTTTTATACCTAACAAAATACAGTGAATGAATTATTCATTGCAGTGTTACCAAATTCTTCCACAACCACAGAACCCGACACCCAGGATTTTAATTAAAGGGGATGTAAATAAGGCTTTTTTTTTTTAATTAAGAAACTAAATTTCTTCCTGGTTTGACCCTGAACTGCTTCAATTGAAAACAGCTGCACTGAGATGAGGCAAAGCATTTGAGACTCAAATTTATCCATGTTTCACACAGCCCTGGCAATATCTTATTGTTTATTCCTATAAGCTTAAATGAATAACGCAAACTCCTGAAACTCATTTTCCTGTTATTTCAAGTTTGTTCTCAAAGCCCTTCTAGACCGAACTTTATGTGAAGCCATCAGCATCAAAGAACAAATCCTTCAGCACTTCATGTTTCTTTGGCCACTCTTCTACACTGTGGAGTCTTCACTAAATTCACTGCCTCCAGGATAAAATGAGGACAAAGTTTGATGCCAGTGTCTAAATATGTATGACATCTCTGAGCTTGCGGAATCACTCAAATATTACCTCATCTACTCAGCATCGTCCAGCTTCTCTTGACAGGAACAGCAGTCTCATACGGCCTAAAGAAGGACTGATTCGGGTATATAAGTCACACACCTTAACACATCCACGTAAATTTCCATAGGCTATAAACTTACAGCCCTGTGCAAGAGGTGTAAGTTCAGACACAAAACATAATCAGGCACTCAGCTCACATTTGGTGCTTCAGTGCTGCCTAATTGGGAAGGGATGTACAAATTCCTGCGGTGGGACTGATCTGAGCTAGCACATCCACACGACAGCACAGCACCATGAAGACTTAATCATTCCAGCCCCAGAATCAGCAACGCTGTTTTAGTGTGCCTTAAAATGGGGAGAAGGGAAGGGAATGGACATGGTAACAATATTCAGATATGTGAAAGGCTGCTACAAGTAGGAAAGGAACAATCTGTCTTTCATGTCCACATCCACAGACATGACAAGAAATAACGGGCTTAAATTGCAGCAGGGGGCAACAGGCAAAATGTATTAATAGCAGGGAGCTAAGCATTGGGATAGGTTACTTGGGAGGCTATAGATGCTCCACTGTGGGAGGCTGGAGAGAACAGATTACACATATCCATTAGGAATAATTTTGCTGCCTTGGGGAAGGAGAAGGGACCAGAAGACTCCTTGAGACTCTGTCCAGCCCTATGACCTTCTGCTATGACCAAGCAAAATAGCCCCTCTCTTCAGGTGCAGCCCTGCATTAACATGGCTACGCAGGTTTCGACCCCAGGGCTAGCTCAGGCAGCGCTACCCGCATCCCGCTGTTTGGCATAAACATGCTTACAGAGAACAGAGAACTGCAACATCTCCCTGATTTGTCCCTTTGAAAATCTCCCACAATATTTGAAGGCACCACACACCACACAAAACACCGCAGCCAAAATCTGCACAAAAATATGAAACTGGACCAATTGATCACTGTGATCTCTCTTTGACTGCACTCCCTTTCTCAGTATTAATTTTTAAAGGAAATCAGTGACTGTGATGTTTACATGGAGTGAACCACACTGTGTTCCCTGGCTGGGCCACACTGAAGTTTCGGAGATGCAAACCCACAGGGACACATCCTCTTCTTGGCCCCGTGCCCCGCTCCCCACAGGCACGAGGAAGAACGATTCCCCCAGTCCCTGCGTTAGCCTTTGCTGTGGCTGGGTTGCTCAGACCAGCAGCTCTGATGAAGCAGAGCTCTCAAGTGCCTTCACCCAAGCGAGACACAGACGAAGGAGCAAACATGCCACAGGGGAACTCTGAGGAGGTACTCGTAGGAGAAGGTAGGAGCAGTGGGATATCACGGGGGGGTTCACCAACCTGCCCTGCGGAGCCAAAATGCCTTCTTATGGCTTTGGTTATCCCCATTTAATAGACAGACAGAGTCCTGCATTCCTCACATACCCACCATTCCCAGAGAAAGTTTAGCAAAGCCCATCGGTGTTTCTAAAAATGGAACAGTTGGAAATACGCAAAAAATAGAGTTCCTGCTTTTAAAATAAACGCTGACTCGCCTCTAATACAAAGTATGTAGCCAAGTGCCTCCAGAACAAACACTTCACAAAGGAAGAGGAGGACTAGAAAAGAATTCCAGCTTCATTGCTGGCCTGAAGTTTATATCCACGCTAATCGGATCCTGTAATCCTTGTTATCAATCACTAGCATTCTTGGAGCAATTCCCAAATACCCATTTTAGGCAAAGGATTTGCTTAGAGATAGACGTTCAGAACGTTGTGAATAAGATCTAAAGAACAATTACTTCACCTAGGATGTGGCATATAAGCCTGATGGGGAGGCAATCCTGAAAGTCTGGCATATTAAGTTGTTAGAAAGGAATGTACTTTCCGAGCTGTAATTGTACTTGTACAGTACTAGCAAGGGAAATAGATCAAGCAAATGTTCTCTTCTGGTTGCATGGTAAGATATCCTACCTACCTAACCAGCAGATCTGAGGCCCAGCTCTGTGAGGTTCAGCCAGGTGCCTAATATCTTCGGTTCTTGCTGGAATATACAGAAATGAAGGGAGGCTTCTTTTGGGCAGATCTGCAAGGTCTCATCCTGGCAATGAGGCTTTGGTGACCAGCTCTCCCAAAGCTAGGACTGTATCTCATGCTTTTGAGATCTGCTGACTGGTTTTACCAGGTATCTAATGTCACAAAGCCAGAGATAAACTGCAACACTGGGAGTTAGTCGGGGAGTCTGTTGCCTATAAAGGCCACGCGTCCACAGGAGCACTCCTAGCTGGCGTAGCACAGGGGCCGCATGCCTGACACCCCATCCCAGAGAGAGTGAGCCTTCTGGGAGCTCTGCCTGAAAGGTTACTCATTGCAGCGTTAACATAGCAGGCACCTTTTGCAGAAGACATGATTTGACATCACTGAATGCAATACATTCCTGGGCATGCAACATATAGATGGAGCTTGTCAAAAAAATACTCCAAAGGAAGAACTTCCAGAAGTGTTTCCAGTCACACCGAGAGCTGGCCTAGAGAGGAAGCAGCTATACTGCTGCCCCCCTTCCCTTCCTCTCAGGTGAGGAAGCGTGGGCAAATGCACATAGGGGGTAAATTTCACTCACAAAGGCTCTCCATATATATCATGTTAGCAGTTTTCCATGGAATCACATTAGCATTTCATTGTGTTCAAACCATATTGCATTCAAATCTGTTTTTCCTAAAAGGCTTTCATTGTGCATCACTGTGGGAAATTGCTAATGCAATAAGATTGACATATAGGCTCTCCTGCAGGAACATCCGCAGTAATCTGTGCTAATTGAGCCCTCAGTGTCTGGTGAAACCCTGCAGAGGGGAGGAAGGGTGGAGTATCCACAGGGCCTACCTCCTGGAGAACTGCAAGAAAGA